GCAGCCCCACTGACTTCCCTCCTGATTGGCAGCAGGGAGTGGCAGCTTGATTAACATTCCTTTCAGAAATAAATAGTTCAAACAAATCATTTAAAGTTAACTGTAAAAGCAGTGGAAAATGGCCACTGCCCATTCTATTTGCAAATGAGTGAGCAAATGAATTCACGTGAACAAACACACACACACAAAAACAATTCATAGAATAAATCCTGCATTTCCCACATTCATAGGGGGAAAAAAATCTTAAAAAAAAATACTAATTAGCGTTTGTTCTAGTGGGTTGAACAGTCCAGGGCTCTGAGCAGACACAGCCTTGCGAACGGGTGCAAGCAGCCCTCGCACCCCAGGTGAGGACACGGGTGCAGCGAGAGGCTTTCATGCATCTGACAGCTCAGTACCTGTGAGAGAATGGGGGGTGGGGGGTGGGGGGGCTCTAACCCACGATGCATGAGGTATATGGAAATGTCCATGAAAGAACCACCAGCAGCTCAGCAGCTCCAGGGACGGGGCGCATTCTCACAGCAACTGCTGGTGAAGGATTTCCCACACCATCTTCTTCCGGAAGAGAGGCATCTGGTGCTGCGAAGAACCCACAAACAGCGCATCAGTCACTGCGCACAGCGCCCAGCCTCGGGGCAACCCGCGGAAGGCGGGCTTCCGCCCTTCTGTGAGCCTCGGGTTCTACATCGCGGCACATAAAAGCAGCTGTAGAATGGCTGTCATTACACGACGTGTACCATCCGCTGTTATGTTTTGGGGTACTTTTTTTAGGTTTTGCCATAGGGTGCGTGCACTCACCAGAGAGACAGGAAAGTGAGAAAACACCCCCTGGGGGAAGGCCATACTGGAATCCCCTCTCCTCCATTCACCTCTCTGGATTTGGGGCATCCCGCACACATGCCCGGCGTGATTTTCACATCGCCATGTAGGAGTCCAACACCTTAATCACCTGCCATCTCCTGGCCCCTACTTTTTCACACATCAGGGAAAACAAAGGCGGGATGTAGAATTACACAGTGTGGTACACCAACTTCAAAATAAAAACGTGTAACCAAAAGTGGAAATAACCAAGTGGTGGCACAATAGATACTTAACGTATCTGAAAACATCCTAAAGTGAACGTATTATTCTTCCATGAGAAAAACATAATCTATAAATAAAAACACACTGAGCACCATAAATTTGCCTGCTCAGCCAATCCTGTGCCTTGCTCACTCTGTTCACATAGCAGCCTTTCCCTCTGAAATGTCACCAGGCTCAGAAAACACGAACCCCTTGCTATTCAGCAACATGAAGGAACGAGATGTCTTGCTCGATGTATTGCTGTTTTAACAAGCAATCACTACATAGGCCAATGTTCAAAGTAACGGCATACAGGACAACTTCACAGTTACTTATAACTCAACTAGTCCCCCCCTTTTGATGAAGTCAGAAGTTTACATTCTTGAGGTACTCCCTACATACCACTAAAAATAGTGGGATGCCAGTAGGTGGTGTGGTGGTTAAGGCACCTGGACTCCTACATGTCTGACTATAGTTTGAGTCCTAGACCTGGCAGCTAGCTTTCTCACTTTCCTCTCTCTCTCTGGTCAACTTAAAAAAAAAAAAAGAAATAATGACAATGAATAAAATAAAATATACAAACAGATGGTGGGATCAGCAGATGGTGTAATGGTTATGTCGCTGGACTCCCACACAGTTGACAGCAGTTCAAGTCCCCAACCCAGTGGCTTAAAACTCACAGGAGGCATTTGTGCATGCATGCCCCAAATCCCAAGAGAATGGAGGAGGAGGGACTGTAGCGTGGTCACCCCCTCTGGGGGCTGATTTCTCACTTTCTGTCTCTCCAGTGAGTGCATAAGCCCTATAGCAAAAAGTCTCTCTCTCAAAAAAAAAAAAAAAAAAAACCCACGTAGTAATAACTCTTTAGTATAAACTAGTGATTCCCTACCTAGAGGGTAGAGGTAGGGACTTAATACATGATTCCCAAAATAGTTCAATGCGGGGCCACAGTAGATGGCGTGGTAGTTAATGGCACTGGACTCCCACATGGCTGACCGTGGTTCGAGTCCTGGATCTGGTGGCTTGCTCGCTCTCTCTCTCTCTCTCTCTCTTGCTCTAGCTCTGTCTCTCTTTGGTCAGATTTAAATAAATAAATAAATAAATAAAGTTAAAATAATTATTTAAAAAAATAATTCAATGCATGTACTAAAAAAAGAAATTATACATGTATTCTTAGTGAAACTGCTGAGACTAACCCAAAAATGCCTTTGTTTTAGACTGGAAGGGCCAGCCAGGGGGCGTGGTGGTTAAGGTGGCTGAATTCCACATAGCCAACTGTGAGGTCTGAGTCCCGAACCAGGTGGCTTAAAAACACACCGAGGATGTGCAAAAGCATGCCCAAAATCCTGAGAAGAGATGAGAGGAGAAGGAACTGCAGTGCGTCGCCCTCCCTGTGCAGGGTGCTTTCTCAGTCTGTCTGTCTCTCTCTAACAAGCGCATGTGCCCTATGGCAAACAAACAACGAAACAAAGACTGGGATTTTATCAGTTCAGCATAGCAGGCTGTTTCTTCACCCCACTGTTCAAAAGCTTAGAATGAGGTTAGCAGTCCTGCTACTCATAAATACAGCCGGCCCAGTCACTGTGGCACAGATGAAAGGATGTCACGATACCATGCTGGAGCCACGAAGGCAGGCCCCAGGTCCAAGTTCCAGGTTGACTTGGACATACCGGGCATGCTGGTAATCCTGGCTGAGTAAAAAACTAGGGAGTAGATTATGGTCTGGTAAGGTTCTATTAAGGATGCCCCACCCCGTCATGAAAAAAATGTTTTAATTATAATTATTAAATAAACCCAGCTTAGTGGACAACACCTATCAAAATGAGGATTGCTGATAAAAAATAGTTTTTAATAGGGGTTGTCCTCACTTGTTAAAACATAAATTCTCAAGAGTTCTAAGACACTCGAGTTTCTACACAAACACAGACCACTGAGAACCAGAAATGAACCAGAAGTAACAGAGAGGAAAAGCGTATTAATGTCACATCCTGGATCCACAGCAGAGTCCTCACAAAGCCTGATGTTTCCCTTGCTGCCGTGTGAGCTGACTTGCCTCTTGGGTTAAAAATCTCTCTCACACAAAGGAACCAGCGAATGCGGGAGCCCAGACACAGGCACACTGTCCGCGCTCAGAGGCGAGGACAAACTTGAGAGCCGGCTGAACAGCGCAGCAGTGCCAGCAGGAGCAGGGCTATGCGTGGGGAGACCGCAGTCAGCAGTCGCACGGTCATCCTTAGTACTGAGAGCTCAGTGCGTGCCAGGCGCAGGCCAAATGCTTTACTGTGTTCAGTAGCAGGCGGAGGAGGGTCTTCACTCACCTGAGTAAATGTGATAGCTTTGTCCCTAGAGATATAATCTGCATATTTACAAGTAAACATTCCACAGTCACTCCCATTCAACTGTTGAGGAATCTCCTGAAATTATAAAAAAAAGGGGAAAGGGTAAAACATCCTCTCACATGAACTCCTTGGACCTTTGCTAAGTACCACTGCGGGAAAGCAGTATTAAAACGGTAAAGGTCAAACGTGGCGTTACACACCGACCTACACAGACACAGTGAGTGCGACTCTGTGGCACAGCAACCTAACACCACGTGGAGCCTGGGGCCCACAGGAAATGAAGAATCCTACCTCTCAGCTCTCATTCGACGAAATCTAACTGAAAGGAGGTATGTTACCAGGAACATGAATACTAGTCAGAATTATTTCAGAAACATTTATCAATTTTCAAAAGGAATAGGTGTTGGTCATTTGGAAATTCACTTCTTCCCTGGCTGGGAACTAGGAGTGCGCCTCTAGACAGACTGGCCAAGGAGGGCCCTGCCTCGATTGCTCAGTCCACCGCAGCCCAGCAGAAGCTGCCGCAGCAAGCAGTGCTAAGGGCTCGCAGAGGAAGGCGAGCCTTCCAACCACTCGAGGTCAGCCCCACATCCCAGGCCTGTGCTCACTCACGAGGGGCACAGGTAACGACAGTGCGGGAGAGGCCAATTCCACTGCTGGAAAACACTATGAGGATGGCTCCATTTGACTCAAGACATGCAGGCAGGGATTGTGAGAAAAGAGAGACAGAACTGCACACCAGCCACGTATATGCAGGGACCACACTTCACTCCTTAGCCCAGAGTGGACAGAACCGCGGACTCCACCATACAGAGAAAAACTGCACTGTATTTGTTTTTGGAAACTTAAGCCATTATACACACGTAGTGCTAAAACTAAATTTCTGTTACCTGCTTTAAAGGAAAGCCATTAGGATTTAAAAGACGGTTGCACTTTCAAACCCTGAATGCGATTCAAATCTAGCAAGACGCCAAGCACATTCAGAGCCAGCCCACTTGACTGGTGACAACTCTGGCATGGGACCCTAAAAACCTAGATAAACAAACTTCCAGGTAACTTTAGACAAGAACTGTCACTAGCACCATCCAGAAAAATGGCCAAGCTGAATTTACTGGGTGTACTTCCCCAACCGTAGGAGAGCTGGGCTAGCTACAGCTGACATGTGTGTGGAGAGGGGAAGGCGGAGCAGCCACCTGGACCGTGCTGACGGGGAACGGAGAGCACGGCCAGTCCTGCGGACTCTTGGGAAACACATGCCTGGGGGAGTCAGAGAATGAACGAGCGAGGAAAGGGAGCCCAGTCCGAGGAACATGACACAATCAGGAAATGCGGCAGTCTGTCAAATACAGATGAGCGACACTTACATGTGGCTTCATGCTATAGTGGGTCCACTCCAAAAGGTTCAGGTCAGTATTTCTTTTGGTCTTACTTTCATCCTGTAAGTATTGACTAAAAACAAACAAACAAACAACAACAAAAAAAAACACAATGAGGAAGAAAGACACCAATGAATCCCTATGGAGACTGACCATTATTATGGTCACGAAGAGGTTTGTAACATTTAACAAATATGCCATCTTCAAACCCCTAGCAGGCCAGCAAGTGGTATGGTGGTTAAAGGCATGAGATTCCCACACAGTCAACCGGGATTTCAGTCCCAGATCTGGCGGCTCGCTTTCTCGCTTTCCCTTTCTCTCTCTCGGTCTCTCTGTGGTCTAATTAAAAAATAATAACAAATGGAATTAAATAGATAAGCAAATTTTTTAAAAACCCTATCTATTTAGATTTCTAAAACTGTGACTGATTTTTGGTTTAATTTATTCTTGGGGTTTATTTCTCTGTTTACAAAAATTGTACCTATATATTTTTTTAAGAGAGATTTTTGCAATAGGGTGTGAGCATGCACTGTGAAAGAGAGAAAGTGAGAAATCACCCCCCGGGAGAATGGTCACACCACAATCCCTTCTCCTTCATTCTCTTCTTAGGATCTTGGGCACACGCGTACACATGCCCAGCAAGAGTTTTAAGTCACTGGGTCCAGGACTCGAACCACGGCCAACTATGTGGGAGTCCAGTGACGTAACCATTACCCATCTGCTGGTCCTGTACCTGCTTATTTTTAAGAAGAAAAACATATGAAATAATGCATAAAGCCAAAGAGCCCTATAACATGCAGAAATAATTATTACAGTTAAAGCCTAGTAGTTTACTCCGTATTCTTCCAGTTTCCTACCCAACTCCCACATACATGAGTTTACAACACACATTTTATTCCAATAAAAGAAGCACGGGGCCAGGAAGTAGTAGTCCTTAAGGTGCTGGCCTCTCACATGGTCAGCTACAGTTTGAGTCCCAAACCAGTGGCTTGAAACTCAGGCCAGGCATGTGCATGCCTGCCGAAAATCCCAAAAGAAGGGGCTGCGGTGAGGCCATCTCCCCAGGGGGCGATTTCTCACTTTTCCTCTACTTTCTCTGTCTCTCTGGCGAGCACACACTCTATGACAAAAACCTTTTTAAAAAGTACTTCATTTTGCAACTTGTTTTTTCTCATAAAACAAAACAATTGGCATGGAATATCTCTCTCTCTCTCATTTTAAAGAATTAGTTATTGGGACCAGCAGTTAGTGTACTGGCTTTATCACTGGACTCCCACATAGTTGACCGTGGTTCAAATCCCGGACTGTGCGTGAGTGCCTAAGATCCCGAGAGGAGAATGGAGAAGGGACTGCGGCGTGGCCATCCCCCCTGGGGGGTGATTTCTCACTTTCTATCTCTCTGTCTCTCTCTGTCTTTCTGGCGAGTGCACGTGCCCTACAG